ACAAACTGTGAAAAGAGGCTTGTGATAGTGATAATTCCCACATTGGGTTTTTTTTTTTGTTATTCTGTGTCAGAGTTTGTTTGTAGGGGGAGAGGATAATGTAGCCTGCTTGTTAGCAGCGCAGGGGCAGGGACTGGGCACTGAGGTGCATTAGAGATTTAAAATCCCATGATGCGTCTCAGTGGGCCTTGTTACCCTGCCCATGCTTCCACTGTTACACAACAAGCAAGACTTCTCAGTGGACATCTCATAGAAACAGGTTTTTTTTTTGGTTCCTTTTTTGATCAGTTCTCTTGAGAACTGACTAGAAGAGGAATCCACTCCTGGCAATTGACGGGCATCTGATGCGTGCTGCAGGGTGCAGTGTCCACTGATAGCTGTCTGATGGGAGGTCAGATGCACTCATTTATTTTCCGTTAGTTTTAAATATCTGAAACACATTAAGTCCCAAGCGAACGGTTCATCAGAGTTTGGCGCAGCTACTCTCTGACTTAAGTTCCTCACCAGGAAATGGAGTTTATATTCTTTAGATCATAACATTCCCAGCATGTAGAGTATATGTAACAGAGTGTGCTCTATCTGATCTGTGTGCTCAACACCCTCTCCTTTTCTTTCCACTAATTGAATTCTTAACCTTGCCTCTAAAAGTGCATCTAAGTGCCAGTACATCTGTATATGTATGTGGATGAAAAGTTGCTTTTCATTTCCTCCACCTTTAAATAAAAGCTGTCAAAGACCACATTTTTGCCTTCATATGACGAAGAGTTTGCATGTAATGTGCTTTTCATGAACAAGAAAGCCTCATTTGCTGAAAGAGATGGAAACTTTATTTACTCTGCTCGGGTCATTGGGAAACATTTCCTCTTCACAAAAATAATGAATGTACACTTATAGTATATTCTATATTTTAATACATACAGAATTTTCTATGTGAGAAAAAAAAAAATCAGATTAATTGCTGACTGTCAGGAATGGTCCCTGACCTGCAGTGATGTCCATTCCAAAAAAAAAAAAGGCAGTCATCTTAAAGAGGAATGACATCGATTGTGTTTTGAATTGTGGTCAAACAGGTCTGAAAATCTTGAGACGGGGGCGTGCACAGGCAACTCAGCAAGCCAGTCTGATATTTCAAGATGTTCCAGTCAATCATTCCACAGACTTCCTCCTAGCCATCAGATTTGCCTCCCTCAAAAATAGCCCTGTATACCATGGCCTTAGAACTGAAACAATCTTCAATTCAGAAAGTGTCCTGTGTGACTTTTCCGTTGCACATAGTAAGGCAGCTGGGTGAGACCATAAAAGGGAGACCTTACTAGCCTGAAGGTCGTAACTACAGCAGCTGTTAACATCCAATCTTATCAAAAAGCAAGACTCTACCACAGCTACTGGCTTTTACAAGCTGATCTCCACAGAAAGGAAACCAAGTGCATCTGAAGTGGGACAAAAATAATAATCCTTGTTACCTTGTACGCTGGCCTGTCTTCCGGAACACTAGAGTTTCACCGTGAGTTGTTCATAGGAGCCACTCCTGCCATCTGCTGCTCAGTGCAAAACACTGATGGTATTACATTGTCTCTTTATGTACACTAGTGTTTCAACAAGCCGCATTTTGTTGTGTATGAAACATAACTTTTTCTCTCAAAAGGCAACAATGGTTTAATCTTAATACAACTGTAGCTGGACCAAATCTACCACTTTAGATCTATGTCTGGCATTTCTATATTCAGTTGGTGGAGAATATAAGTAAAACTTTCCACTTGAATAATATCAGTCAAAAGTAATACATGAGATTTTTTTTAGTCCATATTTTTTTTAAAAACTTGAGTGGTGGGTAACACTGGAGCTGTACCAGACAGACCGAACTGACATTTTCAATCTTCATGGTGTCACCGGTTTTTGAAAAATTAAGAGGTGTGTTACCAGTTTTGGCAATAAAATCCCAAGGTAGCTTCATTTGGGTACAGCACGTAATGCAATTGACAAGTCAAGGGGGATCATGTGACTGCTCACCAAAGATTTTGACTCAAGTAATTCACTTTGTCTTCATCACATACCTTGTAATTACATTTCATCATTATTTCTTTTTACACTGTAGGGTAGAACAGGTTATATTTACTTTATGGATTTTACTCATTATTCATGATCTTATTTACTGTATTAACTCAACAATCACACAAAATAAAACATCCATTCCAGGCTTATGTATGTGTATAAAAAAGATGTATCAAACATAGGTTTTTGAATGACTGGGTATATAAAAAGGAAAAAAACAAAAACTACACAATAATAACTGAGTGACCAGTTCATTCTAATACATCGGACAATGGCTTGTTTTTCTAGACCTTTTCAATCCTTTGACTATAACACAGACATAACTTAATGTTTTTCCTTTTTTGACAGAACATTAACAGAAAAGTTGTTTTGGTTGTGCAAAGCGGCGCCCACTCTGAACTCAGTGAGAACTCTAGGGCTGAGGTATTCTGAGCTTTCAGAACGTAGATGTAATCAGCCCGGTGCTTGTGTCATGGGTCACACTGAAATCACCTGACAACTTCACTAAAACAAACAAATGCCTGTGATG